TCTCTCTATATTTAGATAATATAGAAAGAAGACTATGTATATTGACACTCTCTAGACTCTGCATTGACAGGAGCCTAGTGCACTGAGTATGCCCTTTTGTACAGTTTAATAAGAAGTCTACGGTTAGAAGTATAAGATCTACAGTTCAGGTTGCCCAGAGATTAATTCATTCTTAACGGTTCATTCAATTACACCAGCTATGGTGCATTGTCCATCTAGCTGAACATGTGGAGGCATGATAGAGTGTCTCATCACTGTATACTTCTATGTCATTGTGGTGTTTGCTGAAACAAAAACGAAGCTTAAGTGATTGTCTGTTCAGAGTGGCAGAAGTACCTGTTGGAGCTGATGGAAAATAAATAATATTGAAATGACAACCAAAAAAAGGAGTACGAGTTCTCCGCCAATGCAAGGTTTGAGTGTCAATATACACAACCTTACCTCTTTAACCACCTTGATAATTCTAGTCCAAAATATATCCTTATTATTGGACCAAGACTCATGGTCATTGAAATGGCATAACCATGGTGGAAATTTTCTGACTTGGAAGCTTGATGCAGAAGGATTTGTTCTAATTTCATCAATGCAAGGTTCTAATTTCCTAGATGGTTTAATCAAATAAGTATGAAATATAATATGATTTAGACTCAAAGAAGAGTTGGGATTATAAGAAAAAGTATTCAGTTATTTTATGTAAAACGACCAATGTCGAAATATCTCTTAAATCTAATGACAGATCTTCAGAAAGACAAATGGTGTCTGTAGTTTTATTTGGAAATCTTGTCCATGAGATAGTTAATTCATGATGAACTAAATTATACTAGATTACTAATGACTTCATTTAAAAGCTGTTGAACTAACTTATATGTAGGTCATTGACATAGCAGGTCTCATATATTTGAAACAGCAATCTAACTGTTTTTTACCAACCAAACAGCAGAAAAGCAAATGGAAAGAACACGAGTTTCTGATCCAATAGAATAAATTTCATTCTCAGGTAACCTTGAGTAGCTCAAGTAGCCTTGTTCTTGATGATTCATCCCTGAATATAGCACATGCTAATCTGACAGAAGTCACCTTCTGTGGTTTATGCTCTATATCTGACTGCATATTTGATGGATGATTGTATCATCTTGTATGTTCTGCTTTTATCAAATTATTCTATACTGGTTGGTTAATTAGTAGTGCAATGGAACCTTACATCAAGAATCAGTACCAGTTTTTTTTTACTTGTAAGGACTTTGGACCTTTCTGGTATTAGCTTTGTTGTTCTGCTGCAAGTTACATAAAAGAGAATGATGGTATCTCTTTCTCTGCATTTTAAGGCTCACTTTGTTTTCTCTTCCCTTTTCATCTTTGAGTGCAAATAAAAACAAAATTAAAATAGTCTTAGATGAATTTATTTTGGGATAATGATAGTTAAGGTTTAAAACCTCAATCTAATATTGGTTTCAACACCTTGTCAAACTCATACAAAAGAGGTATATCAGACTGCTATACCGACTTATATCACCCTCACCAAATCATAGATAAAAAATACTGATTGGCATTGATATATATGGTCCAATTTTGATCCTTGATCTGAAGGGCAAATACTGATCGGTACTACATACCAATCTTACCCATATTTTGAGATCTTGGTAATAATAGTAGTTGTGTTATTTGGGTTTATAGTGTGCTATGTGCTTTTGTCCTATACTGAGTATATAGAGTCAGTGAATAAGCATTTCTCTTTTACAGTTTCATTCTGTTTTATCCTCCACAGAACTTAGACTCATTATTTTTTAGTTTGTCTTGTTTTTTCATCGATTAAATACATAATCATTCATCTCCTTTTCTAGAGAAAAGAAATGGCATCCTCTTTGGTGTCTGCTTAGGTTGAAGAAAAGACGCATTACATTATGATCCTGAGGTTCTCAGAGCCTGGTGCAAATTATAACTCTAGAATTGGAATAGTTTCTTGACATAATGATATGGTTTAATGCACAAATTATCATGTAATGGTTCAGGGGTTTGTTGATACCTCCTTGGCATGATAATGCCTTGATTCATATCGTTTGGTGTGCTCCTGTGTAGGTCAAGACTGGCCAAAAAGTGGTCTAACCATATTTGGCACCTGTGTCATAGATTGGGATGCATGTTTTGCTCATCTTTTGCACAGTGCATCTTGACTCATGCCAACATGTGTCATTCATCATGGCAATTGGTCATATGGGCATAACATGAGATGCCTTTCCATTCCACTGTTGTGTTTTGCATAAGAAAATTGCAAACATTAGGTGTTTGATGGGCTATCTAAATTTACTTACAATTAACCTATGAATATTTTGGCAACATTACTGTTTGTTCTTTTGTAAGCTCATGTTTTAGTGAATTGAAAATTATTTCTATTATCTTATCAATCTACAGAAATAGAGTAGTGCCAATAATGTCTGCTCCAGCACATGCTCTTCTTGAAAGATGTATCTTTATGATCCATCTAATTCAATGGTCAATGCTGCCTTTTATTTCTTGATTCTTCTATTTGGTTAAGCCTTCCAAGAGATTTTCAATCCACCTCTGAAATAGTGGTAGCTAACTCAAGTTGGCTGCATCTACCGAAAAGAGAATACTGAAAATGACTCGTGGCCTGATGGACTGCTAACTGAAATGTTTTTGAGCTATAAAAGGAAAAGACATTGTTTGTTGATAATGACTCTCTGGACTCCTAGGTTGATGGAGGTCCGAGTTTGAGATAATAATGGTACGACCAACATTTTGGTTAAGAGAGGATCAGACTATAACAATGGTTTTATTTTAAAATTCCTCATTTCAATTTTTTTCTTTGAACCATGTGATTTTGTCAATGTTCTTTGAATAGTGTTTTCTTCGGACTCTAATCCACCCTAGTGCATGCCCATTGACATTATATATCTAATTCTAACATCATAACACTTTGTTCAATGAGGATAATTCATAATATATGAATATGCAGGTGTGGATACGAATTTTGTTACACCTGTGGGGCTGAATGGAAGAACAAAACCCAAACATGTAAGTGCCCATTGTTCGAGTATGAATCTGATGAGGATTCAGAATTGGACGATGATGAAGATGGAGACGAGGATTATGAGGAGGATGAGGACTACGATGATTCTGATTACGACGATGACTATTATGGGAATTACAGGCGCCTGTTTTAGGGCTAACACTTTTGCATTGCTCTGTCACTTATGGTTTAATATCTCTTTTATTTACACTGTTCTTGGGATCTGCACTTAAAAAACTCTTGCACTTTCAAGGGTTTCTTTAATGTCGTAGGCTTATAGGAATGAACAACTTGGCATAGACGTGACTTCTAATGTTGATACCTAATGCTTTGCTTTGGATCTCTCATGTGCATCTCACCCTAGCAGCATTACCAATTAGCACATCGTTATGCAGGCATAAATACTTTTTACGGTTTAAATTGTTTGTGCAGCAAAAAGATGCCACGGTTTCCCTACACGTCCGGAGTTTTCTGATGATTTAGCTTCCTGATGTAGCTGCCAGGGTACGTTAGGAAACTGCTACTCTGTCGAAACTTGAAGGGTTGTGGTTTGAAGGTTGTAAGTTGGGCTTATGTTTCTCTTCATTGTTTTATGAACAGTTGTGAGTCAGCTCTTTCTCGTTTTACCATCTACTTGCAGCTTAGTATGAATATGATATGTATGATATGGTAGATATATCAATTTAATTGCATATGATTAGGGTCTTTACACTACAAATAGGAGCCTATTCAGATGCTAATCTTTACAAGTCTGGTCACTTCACGACATCTCCACCAAGAACTCCAAATTAGCACATTCGATTTGAGCTTTAAAGGCAACATGATTAACAAAAACTAGGTTAGGTCGATTCAACTTGTTATATTGGGTTGACGATCAAAATTGTTCTTGATACATATAATATATAAGGAGAATTATACAGCTGAGATTTAAATGAAACGAAGGATTCTTCGAGGAGATAAATACCAAGTGCTATGAGCACAAACTTTGTAAATAATCGATCAAGGTATAAATAAATAAATAAATACTCAAAACCTCAATCTTTAATTTTGTGCATCAGAGGAGCATAGTCCATCATGCCTTGACAGTGCAGTCTCTATTTGTGATGAAGGAATCCATTTGATGAGCGCCATGACTTGAGACTAAACATAGACAACATGAGTTATGAGGTAAAAGTGTGGGTTTTGTTCATCCCACTCTATTTTCATATAATTACTTCAACCTAAATGTATCTGCTATCTGTTTCGTATTTTATAGGAACTATTTGCTCTAGAAGAACAGATTGGTAATGTAAACATGGACCATTCCATCAATTGGAGATTTGCCATCTTGAGGTAGCTAAACAGGATAAAATAGCTTTTATCCTTGAGAATCATACAAAGACACAGATTATCTCCCAAGAGGATAAAATAGTGGACATGTTTGACATGCTTGTTGCATTAAGACATGGCTACCGATTAAGAATGTATGCCCAAATCTGCAAGGCTTCTGCACTGGAAGATTCTTTGGTGGAACAATAAATTGTGTCTTGGTGATTACATTGATCAGGATACATTTCTTATTTTTTTATTAAATATTAAAAAAAATTATTACATTACATAACGTACAAAATGTTTACACGTGGACTCATGCAATAATGCACTATTAATCAATCGAATATCTCGATAGAGAATATATTTCTTAGTTAATCCCATGAATTTGTAAATAATTTTTTTTCACAATTTTTAAGTAAATTTCATTAAAGACGTGTAATACAAGTTTGGATTGTGTGTGTGTGTGTGTTGGGGTGTGAAGGGATTTGTCTATGTGCAAGGATGGAGCTCACAGAGAGCTAAAAACCACATGAATGCAAGTCACTTGATATAAGATGTGGCCAGTGAAGAAATAGTCTCTTAGCAGCAACTCTCCTTTTGATGTTAAAAGATTCAGTCACATATGCTGAGACGTGAGATGAGTTTCTGAAGCTTACAGAGCTGATAAGGAACTGAAACCAGTTAGTAATTGACTGTAATCAAGATATCTGTTACAGAAGTTGGGAGTTACCCATTATGACATGCAGGAAAGAGACAAGCCCAGCAATTACAGATAGAAAAATTAAGAAGAAAAAGAAAACAACTAAGCTGGATTCTCTCCAGCCTCCAAAGAACCGTGTATGAGGAACACAAATTCATGTCACATAATCCAAAAGGCCATCGACTATACACATTAACACATGATTTTCCCGATATTTACATGTTCCGTACATGTATATTCACTCACTGTGGTAAACTGGGGTGCTGAATTGCAGACACACAACAACAGGTTAATTTGAAACTTCAGGCTGAGGAATCTTGCGAAATGATGCATGATATGCTTGGATAGACTTGCCTTATCCAACTTAACATGCACAAAGTGAAACTTTTAGCAGATTCACTGGTACGAGAAGGAAAGCCATTCATGTTCTAGTGCTTCACTTGCTGTCGGTCTTCTCCTAGGGTTTATTTGGAGTAAATAAGAAAGGAAATCAATAAATTTAGCATCAGAAGATTGCAGTTGATGCGACAGTGAGGACTTTTCTGGTATTAAGTACTCCACTTGGTCTCCTTCCTGTAAAAAGGTGGCAATAAAAAGAGAATTATGATTTTTTGAGTAAATTAGAGTTTCCTTTTCGAATAAAAAAAATGAGACCTTACATCTACTCAGAATTTTTATCAGTTAACTGTAGTCGCTTGAGCAGCAAGTATAATTTAGGCTGATGATGATTTTTAAGTTCATCATTTGCAAACACTCGTGCAGCGGTGCAAAGATCTTAGATCTAAACAATATCTTCCATAGCTTCTATAAGCAGATGCCTCATTCAGCATGTTGACAGTTGAAATGGCACCAAAACACCAGACCAAACAAGTTAATATGTTGCATAAAGTGCCTGGTGTATTTACAGAACAATTATAATCAATCAGGCAGTTGGGGAACATTGATCAACTTGTGGCTGTTGGTATGATGTTATTGTAAGAAGATAAAAGTGTTCTGAGAAAAATCCACAAGATGGACCATATAAAATCTGGTATTTAAAGCTTACACAGGTTTCCTCTACCAATACTATGCAAGTTGAACCAGACATGAAGACCCTAACCGTTTCGGATTCTCCCCTTAAGGAAGACTTTATTCAACTTTTGAGTGTATAAAAAATGAAAAAGATCCTCTGATTAGACGAATTTGGAGAATCAATATTCCCTTGTAGTAAATACAAAAATAAGAGATTTCTGTAACTATGCTATATGTGCTTCCAAGTTAGATAATTTTCTTTGTTCATCATCTTTCAAATATCATTATTCATCCAAGATGAGAATTTATGAACCTAATCACATTGGTCATCCTTTTAAGTCATATTTGATATTTGATATCAGCTATTTTCTTTGTCTTTTTCTTTAAATTATGTTTCAGTGACTTCCCAAAAACTAATAGAAAATTCTAACTAATACTGTTCACTAAGCAACTTTAGTTAACACAACGAATACGATGGAACATACTGATGTATATAGGGTTCAGCTACTTTGCGTCCGTTTATCTCCATTCCACATATATTGCAATTCCACCAGGAGAGTTAAAACTATAATAAGCCAAAATACTAGTGTTTTACTTTATGTGATTCTTATCTTCATAATATGTAATAAGGTTTTGAGGACTGGTATTATTACTCATACCCCATTATCGGACAGACACTGCCTCAGTAAACTAATAAAAGAAATGCAAAAAAGAAGTTTAATATTTTATTACTGGATGGTACGACTAACACTTGATACACCAATATACTAAGTATGACACTGGACTGGTATGCAGAATTGGTATATCGTAGGACTTTTAAGTTGGAGCCATGATTATGGCAGGTATAACCTACAGTAGAATTTCTAGTGGCTTACCAAAGGACATTTCTTAAAGATCCCATAAATGTTCTAGTGGCTTACTAAGGGCCATCTTTTAAGGATCCTATACAGCTTACAGTAACAAGTTAGAAAAAGAATGATCAAGTGATAGACATGAGAGAGACACAAACCTCATTTCTGTGATAAAGATCATAGTTTACAGTGAAGAACTTGCTTGTTTCCTGACCTAGTGCAAGCATCTCCTCATCAATTGGACCAAGGATACCAATCATACGGGCAAGTATCATGGCCACCGAGTCATTTGGAAATAACACCTGATGTAGGACAGAAATTCTAGATCATGCATGATTCTATATACACTAATAAGGTCCTAGCATGAAAAATAGTTAAATGTTCCAAAGCATCTCACAAAAAGCAACAAGTTTCTTTCAAGACATGCTTAAGAAATCATATTTTTCAGTTTCTTCATATTAAGCAAACTTATGAGACAACGGAAAACAAGGAAAATGTTAGTATTTTGCATCAAGGATTGCGTTACTGATGGGCATTGCCCGGTAAGAGCGGTACAGACCAATCAGAGAGAATAATAGTATGTGGACCGCTCTCTATCGGGCGGCAGCAGTGCCTTAACCCTATATTAGGCAATACGAGATCTGTACCAGGCAGTAATGGTCGGATTTCGATCGTTACCGATCAAAGGTTGAGATTACCCTATTTCAAACGGTCAATTTAACCATTTAGAGCTTAGAAAAAGATTTTTGAACCCCTTACTCCCCCTCTTTTAACTCATTTCACTCAATCTCTTAAATTCAAACCTTTTTTCACTCACATCTCTCTCTTATTCTCACATTTTCATTCTCCTAAACTTAACAAAGCAATGATTTGTGGATCGGATCAAATTTAGAAGACTAATTTGAGAGAATTAAGAGGAAGAATACTCTAATCAAGAGGTATGTATTCTTTTTCTAGATTTTTATTGATTTATGAGATGATTAAGCCTATTCTATGTGATGTATGACTTAATGTCTAATATGTTGTTTGATATGTTTTTGATAAGAGAATAGTATTAATTATGGAGTAATGAAGGTCTTTAATATTGTGATTAGTGTGTTTAATATTGATTTTTTTGAAATTAAGGATTGGATCATATGTTTGTGATGGTATAATAAGTTTAATTAGGTTTTAATTAAGTTTTTTAATACTACAAAAAATGGTTTTAATGATGTTTTAATCGAAATTTGATCTATAGGTCAACTCGATGTCTTTATACCTATTAGGGTGTTTGATATATTTATAACGATGAAAAAGAACTAATTATGAATTAATTAACTATGTTAATACTGTGATTAGTGTGTTTAATTACGATGATATCCAAATTTGATCCATATTGGGTCAATTAAATATCTTTAATACCTATTAGAGTGTTTGACATGTTTATAGTATTGAAAGAGAAATAATTAGTGGGTAATTAATTATGTTAATAATGTGATTAGTGTATCTAATGATGATTTCATCGTTATTTGACCTATATTAGATCAAAATTACATAAAATAAAGCTAATTAGGTTTTAATTAAGTTTTTTAATGCTGTAATTAATGGTTTTAATGATGATTTAATCGAAATTTGATCAATATTAGGTTAATTCAATGTCTTTAATACCTATTAGGGTATTTGACTTGTTTACAGTAGTGAAAGAGGACTAATTAGGGTTTAATTAACTATGTTAATACTGTGATTGGTGGTTTTAATGATGATTTAATGATATTGAGTCAATTCTACGTAATTAATGCACCTTGTTAGGGTTCATTATAACATTACGTATAATTACACTTTGTTATTTTAAATCAAGAGTAATTGTAACTTGGTTATTTGATTTAAATTTGATAAAAACATGACACCAAAGGAATAGGCACATGATGACACTTGGGATCATACCCAAAAGATGAACAGGAACCATCATTATTGATAGTGTATTTATTGTGACTACGTCGACAAGGGTGGAGGAATCATTTGTAGGAAGATGCATTTGGCCTGTAGGTATCTCGATGTTGCAAAATGCAAGAAGGTTCCAACGGAGGTTCGTAAATCATTTCAAAATAAGTTACAACATGCAAGAGAAGATACAATAAAAAAAGAAGGCAAGAGTTGAGGAAAAATACTATAGGGTTATGCAGAAACCAGTTTATGATGACTATAACGGTCGCGGCGATAAAATTGACCCGGATCTCAGAGCTAGTATTCGTGCAACATTAGAGCATCAATATATGTACGAGGAAGCAATGAGACATCAATGACCTACTCATAATAGGAGCATGGCGGTGGCAGTGGATATGCGCTACAAGGAATCCATAGGTTGACTAACATGAGGTAACCAACTGCCCCTCCCCAGTTAAGTCGAATTGATAGCATGAGGTAGAGTGGAATCCGTGGTTTTATGAGAAGACTTAGCAGGAGGTTCACACTAGATATTACTGATGTTGATCTGCAAGCTTGTCCTCCACAAATAGTGAAATAGACACGGATTGACGATGCATATACAAAAGAAAAGAGGCGAGATATTGGGAAGGCAATTGCAAAATGGTTCACCTTCCACAGGATTTCAACAAACACAACCCAAAGTCCATATTATTATAGCATGGTCTCCTCAATTCAAAAGTCTGGCACAGGAATCCAACCTCCCAACACCGAGGGAGACCCATGACGTGTATTTAAATGGAGAGGTGGTAGAACTAAAGGATTAGATCAAATTCTTCAAGAGGCAATGGGATGAATATGGGGTGGCACTTATATGTAACAGTTGGATAGAACTAACAAGAATGACTATCATCAATTTTCTTGTTTATTGCAATAGACGGGTCATGTTTTATAAGTCTAGATTCAAGATGCAAACTATATTAAAAATTTAATGGACCCCGTAGTAGAGATCGAACCATAATACACTGTCCAGATAGTCACTAACAATGGAGTCAATTTCAAGAAGGTTGGTTTACAATTGATGGAAAAAAAGAAAACATTGTTTTGGACTCCATGTGCAGCTCATTGCATGGATCTAATATTGAAGGATATTGGCGAGATACCATCAATCAACAAGTGTGTAGCTTAAGTACAGTCGATTACAAAGTTTATATATAATCATCATTGGGTCCACTCTTTAATGCAAAAGTATATAAATGATAAGATACTCAAGCTTGGAGTCATTCGGTTTGCTACAAATTTCATTGCCTTAAAGTCAATATAGCAAAAGAGGCAAGGCAATGGTCACGTTACAAGAATAGTTTGAATCCAGGTATTCGAGATCGAGTGATGGAAAGATAGAAAAGACCATTCTTTCTTCTAGATTTTAGGAGACCGTGAATGAAATCATAATAGGTGTGGAACCACTTCACGTAAGGTCAATATGGACAAGCGTCTATAAATGCCTTATCTTCGGCATATGCTGATTATAGCAAGAGAGGAGGTTAAGAAAGCATTCAAAGATGATTTTACGATCGACCAATACTTATAGATCATCAATTGTAGGATTGAAGTTCATAAGGACCAAGATAAATTCAGGTAAGTTCATAATGCAGGTAAATTCATATTCAGTATAATTTAATTTATAATTTTTTAATGTATAAAAAATTCTTATGATCGGTGTCAACGAGCTTCTCATCAAGATAGTCGAAAGTGGAGGACTTCGGGTCATGCAAGAGTGCACGACCAAAGAACGAAGCAGGCAATACGCGGTGCTGTACCTTTGCTACTCAGGGAAGTAGGCGACAGGGTTGATGGAGAAGACGGTACAATCCTAGAGGCGACCAAACCTACAAGAGACTTACTACAAGTTGGGGTGAAAACTTCCTGCATTCCAGAAGTTCGATAGCATTGAGAAGGTGAATCACAGTAACTAACTCAATACAAGGAGTGCAAATACTTCGAGTGCTTCAGAAGTGTGAGCAAAGAGTAGGCGAAGGCCAGTAACCAGCTCGATGCATGGAGTACAACCCTCGAGGAGGCTGGTGAAATCAAGTAACCTTTGCCTTCTCAACTCTTAAGAGAATGGGTGAAACCGAGTACCCTAATTCTCTTATCTATCCAACAGAGAAGCGTTGCATAGGTTCAAAGACCCTTCGAAGATAATGAAAGACAATAGTTGTCAAATCCTCACCAATGGTGATCAGTGCTACTGAGAGTAGATTATCCGCTTCATTTCCCAACAAAATGCCAATCGAAAGCGGAGGTGATGCAAATCTACTTGGAGGTAACAACTAAGTGAAAGAAGAGTCGATGGGCAAATTTGGTGGAGGAAGGACCCAAAACTTCAAAAGTTTGCAAGGCGATGCTCGTTGAAACTCCAACAAGCATCCACCCAGTTCAAGTTACATGAGACATTTGAGAGATTGGCGCATAGTAAGGATGGTCTTTTCCTTCATTTGAAGGATCTACAAAAACCAAAAGGGATCAACACAACTCAGCCAACCCCACACTAGAGTCAGAGTCATTGGCGAGTTGAAGTAGCATGTCGGATTAAAAGTTCGACTACTCAACAACAACAGCGGAGAGCAATTGAGAGCCAAGAGGCACATTGCAACTGGAGCAGAAGATTGAAGACTCAACAAAGGTGAGGAGTTGCAGTGTCGGCAAAGGCTTCGACGAGGACGTCGAAGGAATAAGTGGGAGAGAATGTCACAGACAAAATTCTAAACAGGATGTTTGATGTAATGCTTATGTATGTCCGTGTCTTTTGGTATGTTCATGCTTTGCATAGCATGTAGAGGGGCGGTCGAAGGCTTAACAGCCTCATTTTAGTTGGGTTTGATGGTCGTTTTAGGCTTGTAAATAAAGGTTGTGTCATGTGGACACTTGTGAGAGATATTCGGTCTGTAGTGGACCATTTTGACCCTTTGTTGTGCAACCGTTCAGAGCTTGTAAAGTCTGTTTGTAATTTACATTGTCTATGTAGTGTTTTCTGAAATGTTTGCTTGTGGATCCCGAGTGAGGTGCTTCCCCTAAACCGTTTTCTCTTTTGTAGGTCCTAAGGGACCATAGGAGGTTTTAGGGAGGCTGAACTTTGCGGACGTACACGCAAGGGTGTCGCACGACTTAGGCAAAACTAGCTAAGTCCGTGACAATAGGCTAGTTACTTCTCTTCTTAATGCCTCTTTAGAGTTGTTTGGCATTGATTAATCCCTCTTTAGAACTGTCCTCAGTCTGTCTTTAAAGTTGTTTAGATTGTTCAATCCTTGTTTGGAACTGTTTATTGCTAGTTAATATATTTTTTATAATTTAGTATTCTGGAGCACCTCGCTTCACTTGGGCGGGCGCCTAAGCGAGT